AGGGCGTAAAAGGAGGCAAAATTCACTTAACTGTCTTGCTTAGCAACTGAAAGGGCGTAAAAGGAGGCAAAAATCACCTCACAGCTTGTCCTGCCCCTGGTGGAGTCTGACTCTGAGGAAGAGGAGGAACAGCCAACAGGGAGAGGGAGTGTGGCTCCAGAGGTGGTGGAGGAGGCTGGGGAAGGGCAGAGGAGGATCCAGGCCCTATCCATCCTAGGTCACGCAGGGAGGAGAGGATCAGGGAAAAGCAAGGTCTACTCAGGAGGAGATTACCATGATCCTCCTCATGGCTTGCAGGTGGGAGCTATGTATATAAGTTTGCAACTGCGCAGTCAGAATTGCTGGAGTCAATTTAGTGTTTACTTTGAAATAGGTTTATTTTTGCTGGCGTTCTTCCCATGGACTCTCCTCAGTTATTTTCCTGGAGTTTATAATTAGTTATCTCAGCTTGCTTCGGAATTCTCATCAATGCGGTTTGTTTTGGTTTTCTGTTTGCCTCATTATTTACTTTTGTGACTTTAAACTATGCCTAATAAAACAATGAAGTTAAGTTGAAGGCTTTACCGGACTTTAATATATGTTTTGGGTTTTGGGTTATTTTGAGAGAATACAGGTCATCACAATTTCTGTTGCTAAGCAAGACAGTTAGTGAAGTGAGTTTTGCCCCATTTTATGACCTTTCTTGCCACAGTTGTTAAGTGAATCGCTGTCAGTTGTTAAGTTAGTAACATGGTTGTTAAGTGAATCAGACTTTGCTTTGTCAGAAGGTCGCAAAGGGGGATCACGCAACCGTCATAAATAGGAGTCAGTTGCCAAGCATCTGAATTTGGATCATGTGACCACGGGGATGTTGCAATGGTTGTGAGTGTGAAAAATGGTCATGTCATCTTTTTCAATGCTCTTGTAACTTTTTTTAAAAAATTATTTATTTATTTTTTATTTATTTATTTAATTAATTTTTATTTGTCAATTGCTTACAAGATAATAGGTATAAGTAAAAACATAGTTATGAACACATGGATACGTATAAGAAAAATAAAGGAAATAAAAGAAACAATAGGACAGGGACGGTAGGCGCGTTGGTGCGCTTATGCACACCCCCTACAGACCTCTTAGGAAAGGGGTGAGGTCAAGAGTAGACAGTCTAAGGTTAAAGTTTTTGGGGTTTGGGAAAACCCCAAACAGAGTCAGGTAGAGTATTCCAGATATTGACCACTTTCAAACGGTTCACCAAACAAAATGTTGTTAGTGAAGGGTTACCTGTAACTCATCGTATCAACTTGTAAAGCATTCCTATGCCTGTTATAGAAGTTGCCATAAATGGGGAGGGTGGGGAGGAAATTTGGAGGAGCAATGTGGCAATGTTAAAACCAGAAGTACATCCCAGCACTTATCTTACAAAGATTGTTCTGCGTATGAAAATCTTTAATTGGAGAACATGATTGATGACACCCAGCCTCTGAACGTTCTTAATTGAAGAATCTGATTTATGACACACCCAGGGGGGAGGGGGGAAATAGAGTCACAGGGGACTGTAAATTATGTATGCCAGAGTTGGCTTCATACAGGTTAATATATCTGAGATACAAATCATTCTCTTCACTAAGCTGTTGCTTTGAGCTCTGAGCTTGGCGATTTGGTTGCAAACGTTTCATCACCATTCGAGGCGACATCGTCCATGCGTTTTGAGTTGTGCTCGTCGGTCATCTGTCTAAATACCTTATATGAGATACAAATTAGTCTGAATGTTGCCAGCCAACAGCCAGACAATCAAACCATCCGAAATCAGATTCAGAAATACCTGAAAAAACAAGGTTCAGACTAATTTGCATCTCATGCAAAGGTATTTAAAGACCTGTGTTCTGACAGACGAGCGCAACTCAAAGTGCATGGACAACGTCTCCTCGAATGGTGATTAAACATTTGCAACCAAATCGCCAAGCTCGGAGCTCAAAGCAACAGCCTAACTAACCCACCTGAGCTACTAATATATTCAAACACATTTCAATTGTCTCCATCATTTATTCAGGGGGAAAAGTAGACATTCCAGCTTTGGCCCTGGAATCCCTGATCCCGGACGAGAAGGATCTCACCAGCTTCTATCGCTACACCGGCTCTCTGACCACCCCTGGTTGCAATGAGGAGGTGGTCTGGACCTTGTTTGAGAAACCCATTGAACTTGGGGGGGAGCAGGTAGGTGACACGGGATAAGAAACACCTGGGGAGTCCTGAGGGCCAAACAAAGCAACGGGGTGCAGCCATGTGTGTGGGCCTTCTTGCTTTGTTGCATCATAACTTCTGCCTCTTTTGGGCTGTGCTTGTGTTAGCTCAATGCATGCACAAATGAGGTTGGCTTGGATAGGGTAGGCTCTACTCAGGGGTACGATTCAAAAGTTTTTAACAACTGGTTCTGTGGGCGTGGCTTAGTTGGTGGGCGTGACTTGGTGGTCATGTTATTGGCTGGGTGTGGCCAACTCAATATCACTCATATTGAGGCACGCATCTCCTCGCCTGGCCTCTCGTGACTGTGGGGATGCTGCAACAGTCGTTAGTGTGAAAAACGGTCATAAGTCACTTTTTTCGGTGCCATTGTAACTTTGAATGGTCACTCCACACAAGCAAAGTACCAGCAAAGGAGGGGGGAAAAAAGCTCCAGAGAAGTTCCAGAGACAGGAAGTCTAATCCTGCCAAGAATGTAACTAGGGTTCACGGAGAGGCAGTTTCTGTAAGCAACACCAGAATGTTTCCTTCCTGCCTTCCTTACAGGATTAGGCCAGTAATTTCTTCTAACAACCGGTTCTCCAAACTGCTTAGATTGTTAACAACCGGTTGTAGTGAATAGGTGTGAACTGGTAGAATCCCACCCCTGGTTCTACTATGTAGGATCCTGATGGGGCAATGCTGTTTAGGGCTCTGTCCATCCTACAGATACCGTGGTCTCAGGTTTTCAGCTGTGGGTTCATTTTTGTGTCAGTAGTTTTTTGCCTCTATGTTTTGGACAACGCTGTGGGTTTTGAAAGGTTGTTAACTTCCTTGAATGCTGGCAGAGAACAGGAAGGAAGGAAGAACAAAGGAATGTGTGTATGTGTGAAAGAGAGAGAGAATGGAGAAGGGAAAGGAGGGAGGGAGGGGGGGAAGGAAGGGAGGGAGGGAAAGAAAGGAAAGAAAATGAAAAGGAAGGAAGAAGGGAGGGAGGGAGGGAGGGAAGAAGGAATGAAAGAGGAGGGAGGGAGGAAGGAATTAGAGGAAAGAAAAAGGAAGGAAGGAGGAGGGAGTGAGGGAGAGGAAGGAAGGGAAAGAAAGGAAAGGGGAGGAAGGAAGGAAAAAGGGAGGGAGAGAAGGAAGAAAAAAGGAAGGAAGGAGAGGGAAGGAGTGAGGGAGAGGGAGGGAGGAAATAGGGGAAAGAAAAAGGAAGGAAAGGGGGAGGGAGTGAGGAAGGAAGGAAGGGAAAGAAAGGAAAGTGGGAGGAAGGGTGGAAGAAGGGAGGGAGAGGGGGAGGAAGAAAAGGAAGGAAGGAGGAGGAGAGAGGGAGGAGGAGGCAGGGAGGGAGAGGAAGGAAGGGAGGGAGGGAGAAAATAGAGGAAAGAAAAAGGAAGGAAGGAGGGGAAGGGAGTGAGGGAGAGGGAGAGGAAGGAAGGGAAAGAAAGGAAAGGGGGAGGAAGGAAGCGAGGAGGGAGGGAGGGAGAGGAAGGGAGGAAGGGAGGGAGGGAGGAAATAGAGGAAAGAAAAAGGAAGGAAGGAGGAGGGAGGGAGAGGGAGAGGAAGGAAGGAAGGAAGAAAAGAAATAAATAAATAAGGCATATTAATAGCTTGGCACCTTATTGTTCACTCAACAGAAGCTCCTCTATTTATATTGACTTGGAAAGATAGAAAATTAATACTTGTCTGTCTTACTGGTTCATAGATCCAAGAGTTCTGGGAAAAGGTGTATTTCGACAGTGAGAAGAAACTTCCCATGGTGGACAATTTTCGACCAGTTCAGCCTCTAGGCGCCCGAATTGTCGAAAAATCAAACTCCAACCTCCTCCTGCCTCTGAGGAAGGCGCTCTTGCTGGTCCCAACCGCAGCGTTGCTGGCCTTCGCTTGGATCTCCTGAAGAGCCAGCTGGAACATTCGAACCATTCGCATTGAATGGCCCTTGGCCTCCTCTCGGAAGCCTTCGGCCCTTGGCATCTCAGCAGCCGCAGTCTGGAATCTCTTTCACAGGGATGGCCAGGATTTCATAGCAGAGACAGATTTTGGGATGATGCTCTCCTGCGTTAGATCGATCCAATGTGCCACGCATGAATTATTCTCGTGCAAAAATCAGGCCATGCAAAGGATGCATGCTTCTTCGCAATAATTTTAAGTGACCAAACTTAAGAATATTATTCTCACCTTGTTCCCACTTTCCAATTATAAATCTCTGTTGGGGTAGAAAGTTGGTTTCTTCTTCTCTTTCTCTTTCCCTCCTTCTCCATCTGTTCTTCCTCCTCCATATTTTCTCCTTCTCTCTCTTCTCACCCTTCTCAATCTTCTCTTCCTTCTCCTTTCCTCCTCCTCCTCCATTTTCTCCTTCTCTCTCTTCTCCCCCTGCTCAATTTTTTTCTCCTTCTCCTTCTCTCCTCCTCCTTCCTCTTCTCTTTCTCCATATTTTCTCCTTCTCTCTCTTCTCCCCCTGCTCAATTTTTCCTCCTTCTTCCCTCCTCCTCCTTTCTTCTCTCCTTCTTTTTCTCTTTCTTCTCCATCTCTTATTCTGTCTCTTCTCCCCTTCTCTATCTTTTCCTCCTCTTTCTCCTCCTTTCTTCCTTCTCTTATCTTTTCCTTCTTTTCTTTCTCCTTTCTTTTGCCACTGGATCTCAGAGAAATTTTGTCCGTGCATAGATTTGTATTATCTAGAGAATACCCTCTGTTAACCAATATTCACATGCTTGTTTCAAGTCATAAGCATGCCAGCAGTGGTAAGCATGAGAAGCATTAATTCAGCCTCATGATTTTGCACCTTGACATTTGAAAACCAAAGTGTGAGTGTGAGGCAAAAAAACAACAACGGATTTTTCAGGCCAAAACTGGCACCCTTCTCAACTGGAATGCCAACTTCAAATTGCCATGACTTCCTCATGAGAACTAGTTCCTTAGCCCAAAGGCTGCAATGTTGAAAGCTTTTCCAACAGTGATACAAAAAGTTCTCATGGGTTCAAAATCAAATGCACCACAGTTTGCCGATCGTCATCAATAGATTTAAATTAAAAATGCTGCAAAACAACTTAGTCTCCAAGTAGACAGGAATAAGAATATTAAACTTAAATTATTATAAAGATTGGTTGCATGGTCAACCAGACGTTCAGACTAGAACAGGGGTCTCCAACCTTGGCAACTTTAAGCCTGGTGGACTTCAACTCCCAGAATTCCGCAACCAGCAAAGCATAGGTAGTCCTCTGGGAGTTGAAGTCCTCCAGGCTTAAAGTTGCCAAGGTTGGAGACCCCTGGACTAGAATGTTTATCCATCTACCAGTCCTAACTAATATTATTTTCATTTTGGTCAGTTTGCTGGCTTAACCTGGATACCATTATGCCTGGGTTTTATTACTGGATTCATAATGGAATAGTTTCTACAAGAACTGTATTTACAAAGTATTTTTCCAGGGTGATATGGGTGTCCTTTGTGCGTCTGTCTCTCTGTGTGTCTGTTTGTGTTTATGTGTGCATGTCCATGGACATGTGCCAGAAATGACTTGGGGGGCTGCATATGTTCTATGAGACCCCCTGGCCTCTATGTTGATTCCTGCATGCCAAAATTTTATTCTTTCAGGATTTCTGCAATGCAATTAAGCTTTTTTTCCTTACTGGAAGACAAAAATGGTTACATGGAATGTAAACATTGAATGTAGAATAGAATAACAGAGTTGGAAGGGGCCAGGGGTGGGATTCAAATTTTTTAACAACCGGTTCTGTGGGCGTGGGTTAATTGGTGGGCATGACTTGATGGTCATGTTATTGGCTGGGTGTGGCCAATTCAATATCACTCACATCGAGGCATGCATCTCCTCACCTGGCCTCGCATGACTGTGGGGATGCTGCAACAGTGGTGTGTGAAAAATGGTCATAAGTCACTTTTTTCAGTGCCATTGTAACTTTGAATGGTCACTCCACACAAGCAAAGTACCAGCAAAGGAGGGGAAAAAAACTCCAAAGAAGTTCCTGAGACAGGAAGTCTAGTCCTGCCAAGAATGTAATAAGGGTTAACGGAGAGGCAGTTTCTGTAAGCAACACCAGAATGTTTCCTTCCTGCCTTCCTTACAGGATTAGGCCAGTAATTTCTTCTAACAACCGGTTCTCCAAACTGCTTAGAATGTTAACAACCAGTTCTAGCGAATAGGTGCAAACTGGTAGAATTCCACCCCTGAAGGGACCTTGGAGGTCTTCCAGTCCAACCCCCTGCTTAGGCAGGAAACCCTGTACCTCTTCAGACAAATGGTTATCCAATCTCTTCCTAAAAACCTCCAGTGTTGGAGCATCCACAACTTCTGGAGGCAAAGTTGTTCCACTGGTTAATAGTTCTCACTGTCAGGAAATGTCTCCCTAGTTCTAGGTTGCTTCTCTCCTTGATTAGTTTCCACCCATCGCTTCTTGTCCTGCCTTCTGGTGCTTTGGAGAATAGCTTGACTGCCTCTTCTTTGGGGCAGACCCTGAGATATTGGAAGACTGCTATCATGTCTCCCTGGTCCTTCTCTTCATCAAACTAGACATACCCAGTTCCAGCAACTGTTCTTTCTATGTTTTGGCTTCCAGTCCCCTAATCCTCTTTGTTGCTGTTTTCTGTACTCTTTCCCGAATCTCAACATCTTTTTTACATCATGGCAACCCAAACTGGATGCAGTATTCCAAGTGCGGCCTTCCCAAGGCATTATAAACTTCACGTGATCTTTGGAGAAGACTTCCAAGCAGAGCATGGCTGAGAAAGTTAAAATGGCACCCATGACAGTGTGTGATTGAACAGCTGCCTTTTTTTATATATCAATCAATCAATCAGAATAGAGCTGAAAAGGACCTTGGAGGTCTTCTAGTCCAACCCCCTGCTCAAGCAGGAGACCCTATACTATTTCAGACAAGTGATTTTTTTTTTCAGTGGTATTGTGCTAGACTGGGCTTTTATGTCCGTCATGCCCCCATCTTGAAATTCCTGAGAATATTCCTGCTTCTCATCAATACAGGTAGTCCCCATCTTATGACCACAATTGAGCCCAAATTTTCTGTTCCAAAGTGAGACTTTGATAAAAACATATTTTGCTCCGTTTTATGACCTTCCTTGCCATAATTGTTAAATGAATGGCTGCAGTTGGTAAGCTAGGAACATGGTTATTAAGTGAATCTGGCTTCCTTTGCTTATTAGACTGTCGCAAAAAGCCACATGACCCCGAGACCCTGCAATATGAGTCAGTTCCCAAGCGTCTGAATTTTGGTCACATGACTGGGGGATGCTGTGTGACCCCTATGGCAGCATAGAAGGGCAAAACATCGCCATCTAGCGGACATCGAAATGTTTGCAGCCCAAATCTGTTGGCCCTACTTATGAAAACTTTCAAGATATTTCTGTTCTAGCCCAAAACCCTGAGCATGTTGCTAAAATGGCATTCCGAAAGCAGGTTAGGCAACTGGCTGAGGAAGACTCTCACCCCATTCCTAGGGAGAGGACAAAGCTAAAATTCATCAGTAACAGGATGTCTCTTTTTTAAAAAAATTATTTGGGTTTTTTAAAAAAAAATATTAAAAAATAAAACGTCTTTTTTTAGAGAACAACATGTTTCCAGGTTGTCACATCTCCATACAGATATAATCTTAATTACATACTCATCTTTCTATATTCAATTTCATATCTTATCATTACTTTATAGATTTCATTATTTTTTTCTTCATTTACTTTCCTCCGCTTTATTTTACAACTTCTCGTTCATTTCTAATTTTATTACACATCCTTTTCCAAATTTCCATATCTTCATAGTAATTATACTTATGCTTTTATCTGTCCTGTTTACAATTTCATTGTATATTCTTTTTTTTCCATCATCATCCCGAAAAGAGAAAGAAAAAATATTCCCTCCACTTCTAGGAGTAATAGGATATCTCTAAAAAGGAGAATTAAGCCCCCGCAAATATTTTGATTGCCAACATGATCGCCAACGTCCGATGACGGATATGGCCCAAGAAGAAGAAGATATTTTGAAGCCAAGTTCTCATCCAACTTCCAAGGAGGCTGAAAATCCAAACATTTTCCACTTCTATGTTCCCTCTTGAAGAAACGATACTCCTTGGATTCTTGTCTAAAGTGAAGGAATCAAGAAATCTTTATTTTCTAGCATCCTAGAGAGCAAACACAAGGACTTCCATCTTTCACACATGTAGAAGAGAGATGTTTTATCAAAACCCACCTGCTACTTGTTCAGGAACCAAAACAATCCACTGTGGAGATAAAAGCATCCTTGAATTTTTGACGGTAGTCTCACAGCCATCACCATTCCCAAGGAGGCATTCCTTCTAAAATGAGACATAGGAAGACATTTCTTCCAAAGATGGCTTGGAAGTGTCTCCATGAAGAAAATAGTTCTTCTTACCTTTTCTTCTTCTTTTGTTGCTTAATCACTAAATTGTGTCTGACTCTTTGTAATCCCATGGACTGTAGGATGCTGGGCCCTTCCGTCCTCCATTGTCTTCTAGGGTTTGTCAAAATTCATGTTCATTGAATGGATGACACCATCTAACCATCTCATCCTCTGCCCTCTCCTCCTTCTTCTACCTTCCATCTTTCCCAACCTCAGGATGAGTTCTCTCTTCTCATTAGGTGGACTTGAGCTTCAGCTTCAAGATCTGCCCTTCCCAGAGGTGGATATTCAGCAGGTTCTGACCAGTTCTGGAGAACCGGTAGCGGAAATTTTGAGTAGTTCGGAGAAACGGCCAATCCCACCTCTGACTGGCCCTGCTCCCATCTCTTCTCTGCCTCCCATTGAGTCCCAGCTGATTGGCTGGGTCTCCTTTTGTTGCCCTGCACAGGAGGATGGAGCTGGAAAGCAGGTTAGTGGGGTGGGGAAGGAATGGAGATTTTGCAGTATCCTTCCCCTGCCATGCCCACCAAGCCAGAACCGGTAGTAAAAAATTTTGAATCCCACCACTGGGCCCTTCTGAAGGACAGTCAGTGTTGGTTTCCTTTAGGATTGACTGCCGTCCAAGGGACTCACGAGAGTGTTCTCCAGCACCACAATTTGAAAGTATAAATTCTTCAGCTCTCAGAGTGGTGCAGTCGCCTAGACGTGGAGCTCTCGTCTCACAATCAGGAGGCTGTGAGTTCAATCCCAGGTAGAGGCAGATATTTCTCTCTCTGGGCACACTGAGAATGCATCTGCTGAACAAAACTCCACATTGGCAACAGGAAGGGCATCTGGCCAGTAAATATTCAGCTCCATTCA